GAAGATTCCTGCGGGGGAAATGATTGATGAAAGGGTCTGATTTCCCGACAAGTCAGGGTACATTTTCGGAAACAGGGTACAGTTTTTGAGAAAAGTGGTCACGGCAGGGTATACCCTGGTCGAAAAGCGACGCACCGGGGTGAAATTGGGCGGTGACCAATCAAATGAGCGCATTCTCTGTTGNTGTAGGGTAGGCACCGCACCAAAGAGGCAGCAGAGGTGGCAGGCAGCCATCAAAGGGAAAAACAAAAATAACAAGGAGCTCGAGGTATCGTCCAAGATCAGCGTAGAGAGGGCATGGAGAACAAGAAAGAAAGAAAGAAGAAAAGCACAAAGAGAGGCCGGAGGCAATACTAAGAGCATAAAGCTTACGGTGTCTCACTGCTGTTATTGTACTTACGGAGGAGGTCAGATGGGGGTATACTTCTATACCCCATTATATTCCTATCGACACTTTTGGGTATACCTTATTTTGTCAATTTCCGTTATTTTCCCATTTTTATTTTTTATTTTTGCCTTTTTTGGACGCCCCCCAAGCTGTCTCATCCTTGCGCGTGCCTTCTTTTGACTCCATAATACACGCGAGAGGTGAACACAGAGAGCGAGAGAAAGCCAACCATGACCTTACCCCCGCGTGACCGGCAATCATCTGTGTCGGACGAGGCAGCGTCAATCGCAGTCAGCCTCGCTGCCATCGACTGGGACGTAGCGCTCGTAGACAAGGACGTAAGGAGGTTGCTGGAGGTGCTCCAAGACGATGGCTCCGAGGGCAAGACCTACGCCGGTCGCAGCAACTCCACGCCAGAGGGCAAGGCCTTCCTGCAGAACCAGGTGGATGGGCTCATGAGGGAGAAGGCGCAGTACAAGGAGAAGAGGATGGCCCTGATGCAGCGGCAGCAGGAGCTCCAGGGTGGCGGCGGCGGCGGCGGTGGCGGCCGCGGCAGCTCGGCCGGCGTCGCGAACAGCAGTAGCGAGCTTCCGAAGGCAACTCCGCCTTCGCTGCCCCAAACGCCCACCAACGATAACAGCACGCATTCTACTTCGAGACGAGGCTCCTTCCCCCTTGGCCCGAGGCCATCCCCAGGTGTGCGAGGGCTCACGCCAGACAGAAGAGCGAGTGCACATGTAGAGATGGATTGTATGTTTAGCAGACCTGACACGAACCCCAAAGGACGAAGGTGTCGGATACAAAAGATAACATAGGCTTTTTGAGACGTTTGGGAGGTGTGCACAGAGTACGTCACTGACTCTGGAATGGCCGTTTGTCGTGCAACACGCGATCGATGCTTCTCAGCAGAGGGAGAGAGGGAGCAGAGCATTGCTTCGGCTGTCATGCGTGACCATGTTATTTGTGCGTACGCCTCGGCTTGATGACCTCCACCGTTTGATTGCCTGCCTTGTAATTTCCGCACGGTTGACTTGTTTAGCCACTACGCTGCCCACCACCCTGTGCGTCCCCTCTCATTTTCGGGCGTGGTTTCGCGTCTCTCGGTCTCTCTCCTTCAACAACGTTGCAGGAGCGGTGAGATTATGCCTTCAACGTTCATCGGCAGACCTCGTTGCCTTGCCTTCTGAACCCACACGGACGAATAAGAGAGGGAGAGACATATGTAGAGACGGGCAAATCGATTTGGCATACGACTGCTATTAATATTCTGGGCGAAGTAAAGCTTGCTCGTGACCCTGCTGTAGCCTGCCCTCCCGAATAACCAGTTACTGCTCAGCGTCAGCGGCAACTGCAACTACAGGCGGAGGGGAGGCCAGAGATCGAATGTTCATGTTTGACTGGCGGCACTCATAAATGCGAACACGCCACGGTCTATCTACAGCACCATTAGTGGGAGCATGGTTCAAACAGCATCGTTTCAACAACGCGTTTCTTCGCGTTTGCAACGTTGGCTTCACTCACCTTGTTGTTTACTGCCAATCGTGTGACTATTACATGCATCTGGACTGTCAGCGCCGGGAAGCCTGCGAGCCCCATCGCCGGCAAAAAGTGCCACCGAAGCAGAAGGTGAGGATATTGCTGTTGCTGTACGGTGCTATTCGCGCGGCAGGGGTGACTTGGGTGCTCTTATGGGTTGGGGGCAATTAGCGTGTTGAGATAAGGTACTCTTTATGTATGTACTTGGTGTACACGTATGCAAAGCAACGTTGGTTTCACGTGCATGCGTCATGGGTATGCGTTCATGCCGCAATGTAGCACTGTTTGAGCCTGAGAAGTCAACTACCTGGGCGTTGGTTGCAATTTTGTGATGCCGCCGCAGCTCCTCAAGTCTTGATCATTTTCCGAACTCTTTCGAGCCCGTGAACTAATATTTGGTGCTGTACATACCCGGTCGCCGCGGCGGTCTAGTGGGTAACCTCGCAGCCTGCTAAGGGCCAGGTCATGGGTTCGAGTCCCGGCAGAGTGAGTTTTTTTCTCACTAAATAAATCCTGGTCTAGGATGAAAGCGATGCGTTGCAAAGCTCGTTGTTAGTAAACCATAATCGACTTCGTAAGTCGCGAGGGAAGGGATTGCTGTACCCTTCTCGCGATAAAAATTCCTCAGGCATGAATGAACCGCAGGAGGGGGTCCAACCCCCCCCTCCTATGTAACCCCGATTGGGTCGTCTAGCTAGCAGAAGTGGAGGATATGGGCCAGAGGGGCAGACGACAGAGTCCAATGATGCGAGAAAAAAAAAAAAACAGTGCCAGGTGGTGGTTCTTCAGAGCGGCGGGTGATACTTCCTGGATTTGGCATCTCGCCTGAAAATATAAACCGCGTTGTTGTTGTATCTCCTGTGTCTGCTATTATATTTGTTGTTGTCATAAGAAATACTTTTGCATGGTACAGCGAATATAGAAGATACGTGCATCGTTCTTTTCAACCCCCATTGGTAGCTATCTATGAAAGTGAGTCTACTCTAATGATAGTTGGGTCTTTGGAGGTTACGGGAAATCTCCCACTTGGTGAGGTCCGAAGTGGTGTATCAAGCGGCGCATGTGTCATGCCATCGGGTGTGCGGAAACACCGCCTTCCTCCATTGCCGGGACGGACCGAGCGATGGACAGGTTTCCGCCGATGTCTTTAGTAGTCAATATGGGTCTTTTGAAGTGCTGACAATCTGCTACTGGTTGTCACAGCAGTCCCTGTCTGTAGTGGGCGATACACTACCATATGGACCGTTTTGCTGCCAGATAGATGCCACTGCTGCTTTTCGCCTCGATCGCCGAGCTCCGATCTCCGACCCCGGACCGCACGGCGCTAAGCCCGAAACTTGGTGGGTGTGTGCCCTTGTCTTCCGTGCCATGGTGTGCTTTTCCCTGAGCAGACCGACGAGCGGTGGCGGAAACAACGGTGTTGTGGAAGGATACCGTGACCAGCGGCACCTACGATGCCCCCAAGAAGACGGCGGCTCTCTATGCACCGGACGGAACCCTCTGGGGGACGGTCTCGGAGGAGGTCCGCGACACCCCCCAACAGATCTACGCCTACTTCGTGAGTTGCTTGCCCGCGGCGGTGGCGGCGGCGGCGGCGGTGGTTGTGGTGGTGGAGGGCTGCAGCAGAGGCTCCTGAGTAGACCTTGTATGTTTCCGAGCGACTTCTTGGCGGTTGTGGTGGTATGGTATTGTTGATGGTGGTCAGCATCTCGTGTGGCTTGTGAGGGTGGTACTCTCGATTGTGAAGGTACTGCTACAAGGACTGAAGTATAGGTAGCAGCAATGCTTGGCGGGCGACTCAATCTAGTGTAGCTCTGTTAGTGAGTTTGCCCTCAATTAGGCCAGGAAATCGTGTATGTGTGTGTGTGTGTGTTGTGTGTGTTCTAGTATGGGCCACCACTTCCTTGGAATGCGGTGGACAGATCAATTCGAGTGATCGAGTGGAAGTGCCATGTGCAAATCGGAAACACACAAAATACACACACCATTACTAACTGTTGGTCATGGCATCCCCTCGTGCAGCTACGAAACACAATTCACCCGCCTGCGATCAGAACCATAAACACCTCGACCTCCCCTACACGCTGTCGATGAACGTTTGCAGGACTACTTCGCCCGGCTTCCCGAGCTGAAGGTGGTGGAGTACACCCCCGTTGCCGTGCGCGTGTACGGGGATTTCGCCGTGCAGGCCGGCACCTACACCTTTTCCTGGCAGGCGGATGACGGTACCATCGTGGAGAAGAGGGCCCGCTTCAGCTTCACCTTCCGGAGGGACAACCCCGGCACAGATCGCCCCTGGACTATCGTGGAACACCACTCCTCGTCCATGCCCACGGCACCCGCGGGTCTCAAGGCGGTGGGTGTGCTTTGTCTCGTCGCCACTGAGGCTGAATGTTGTTGATGGTTGATGGGATTTACCGTACTGCAAGAGCAGACAGATGACATCCCCCCTAGAACGGCCGATACGTTTACGGGAAGCCCTCGACGAGATTTTTCCAGAACTTATATCGGTGTTGGTATCATCTCGGTTGTTGGAGTAGTCAAGCGTTGAAAGTCGATCTAGAGGGTGCCTTCCTTCCGCCCCTTGCGGCATCGTAGGTATCTCCGAGTGCTTCGAACCGTTCCCGTCCGTGCTTGTTTCAAATCCATGTCAGCCTAGAGGAAGGTCTGCCAATGTAGGCCCTCTGCCCAGCTAGAAAATAGAAATGAGTATATGAAGCACAACGCCCGATCGCGCCGCTCAATATGTAAGCGGCGGTATTAGCGAGTATCGACACTAGATGTCTAGATGTGGGACGCTTGTCGTGAAATGATTTTGAGCAGGTCACCGCCTAGGATCGGGTCGCTTCTGATCTAGCTCTCTTCGCTTGACAATGAATAGGATAGGCCGTGTGTTGTGCCTTTCACGAAGGTCGATTGTTGACGTGCGGTCCATTCCGCTCGGCTGCTGTAACCCGTGAACCTCTTGCTTTTGAGTGTGTCTACCATGCCATCCGTGCCAAGACCAAGCAGCAAGATCAAGATACATATCCCGTCCTGAGTCTCTCTGTCCTGTTCCCATGCCGTCAAGTTATTCCCGTCGATGGTGTATTCTGTTATGGTTTGTCTAGGGTAGGGTATGACTCTCTCTCTCTCTCTAATGGTCCGTATTCGCGCGACCCTTGTCGCTTCCGAACTCATCGACTTACTCGTTTGAATCGATCAACTATTATGTCGTTCTTTTGTAATATTTCAGGTTGGGGTAGGACCGGGTATCCCTCGCGGCCCTAAGGTCGTCAAAGAAACAACTCCCGGTGAGTATCTTGGTACTTCTTGTAACCCTTATCCTTTTCGCCGTAAGTTGTGTTTATTATGGCACGACGTTTTCTTTTTTTGTTTGGTTTTTCTCCCATCATTGGACTCTGTCGTCTGCCCCTCTGGCCCCTACCAGCTAGACGACCCAACCGGGGTCACATAGGAGGGGGGGGTTGGACCCCCTCCTGCGGTTCCTGCCTGAGATATTTTTATCGCGAGAAGGGTACAGAAATCCCTTGCCTTGCGACTTGTGAAGTCGATCAAGTTTCGGAGACCAGGATTTAATTAGCGAGGAAAAACTCACTCTGTCGGGACTCGAACCCATGACCTGGCCCTTAGCAGGCTACGAGGCTACCCATTAGACCACCGGGGCGACGTGTCGCTGGGCAGTTGTATCTAGCTCTGCAGTTTGTGCCTGCCACGCGTAGTTGGTTGCTCGTGGGTACAGCAGTGGTTCTTTTGCTTGTGTACCGAGGCACGTAGGTGACGTATGTTTTTTGACACTCTCTGTCTAGGTCGCCATTTGATTTATCACTTCTCACGATGCATTGTCATTCGTTTGCTCGAGCAGACCAAAAGGCCGTAGCCGCAACGGCGGTGGTGTGGAAGGACACGGTAACGATGGGCACAGACGACACGCCTAGGAAGACGGCGGATCTTTATGCCCAGGACGCTACTCTATGGGGAACGGTCTCGGAGGAGGTCCGCGACACTCCTGAGCAGATCTACGCCTACTTCGTGAGTTCCCGCCGGTTGTGGTGGTTACGGTGATGTTGGACTTTTCTCCGTGCTTTGGCAGTTGATGTGCAAGGGTCACGGGTCAATCGCTGTTGTTGTTCTTGCTGTTGCTGTGGGTGCTGTGTGCATATCCGAGGTTCCGCAGGCTGCCAAGCTCTTGTCGTGTTACTGTATCCTTGTGCTCTCCGTCACGTGCAGTGACTCGGCTACTCAACCGGTGCTTCGTTATTCTAAAGTCTCTGTTTTTCTCGGACGCCCCGAGTACCTTTTGGTCTCGTAAGTGATACTAGCCCTTTGGCCAAATATGCCGAGCTTGTTTGGTTACACTTGCAATCACGTGTAAACTTGCTGGGACCCGCATTGGCATCTGTTTGAACTCTCCCGAATAAGCGAAATTCGCCATTCGTGGCATACGCAAGACAACGTCATCGTGAAACGCATGCGCTGAAACATGAACTCCGCCGCTCAAGGCCGAACCGGCACTTGTTGCTTCACCCCTCTACCCAGACCCCTTGACCTCACCACCCCGCAATCATCCTCCAAACGGGAACGCAACAAACAACTCCAACGCCTCCCCTTCCACTGTGGTTGTTCTTCTATCCCGCGCGGGTTTTATCTCTGACTGTATGTTTCCTAACAAAACGCATCTGTCGGACTAAACCCCCCCCCAGGACTATTTCGCGCGGCTCCCCGCGCTCCGGCTCGTGGAGTACACCCCGGTTGCGGTGCGCGTTTACGGGGACTTCGCCGTCCAGGCCGGCACCTACACCTTTTCCTGGCAGGACAACGACGGTACCACCGTCGAGAAGAGGGCCCGCTTCAGCTTCACCTTCCGAAGGGACCCCAGCAAGCCCCAGCAGTGGGCGATCGTGGAGCACCACTCCTCCTCCATGCCCACGGCACCCGCAGGGCTCAAGCCGGTGAGCAGACTGGCTGCAGCTGGGTGGTGGGAGCTAGTTGGTGGTCTGTATGCATACCTCTACGGAGTCATTCGCGAGGATGTCACCTGAGATCATCTCCATCCCACATTGCTGAGGACATGAATGTGATAAGTGGCACGTGTGGTGCCTCTATGATCGGAGCAGTGCTTCCCTGTTGAGTGCAGTTTCTGGGCTGATGTCGCGTCGTCGGCTGTCTCGCGCGAACGTGTTTCCGTCTCATATCAATCCCTTACTCGACGAGGGTGCGGTTGCGCGCGCCCATCCACACACGAGACATGGAAAAAACACGGCTGAGATGTGTAATAGGCGTTCTTTTTTTTTTTACCCTGGTTTTTATTCTTTGCTCGACCTGACGGAAAACCACCGTCTACGTTTGGAACACACATGATTGATTTTTGGGGTACCTGACCGTTGGTATGATATACGGAGCCTCTGGGGGGGGGGGGGGGGG